CCTACTCATGCTCCCTTTCTCCCTTCTGTTTCTGCCGCCTCAGTTCTTCTTCCCTCTCTCTTCTCTCTCTCTCTCGCTCTCTCTTCCTCTTTTTCCTCGCCTCGCTCCTCTCTCTCTTCTCTCTCTCTCCTCTCCTTCCTCTCCTCTCCTCTCTCCTCTTCTCTCTCTCTTCCCCCCCTCCCCTCTCCTCTTACTCTCTCTCTCTCTCTCTCTCTCTCTCTCTCTCTCTTCTCTCTGTCTCTCTCTCTCTCTCTCTCTCTCTCTCTCTCTCTCTCTCTCTCTCTCTCTCTCTCTCTCTCTCTCTCTCTCTCTCCTCTCTCTCTCTCTCTCTCTCTCTCTCTCCCCTCTCTCTCTCCCTCTCTCTCTCTCTCTCTCTCTCTCTCTCTCCTCCTCTCTCTCTCTCTCCTCTCTCTCTCTCTCTCTCTCTCTCTCTCTCTCTCTCTCTCTCTCTCTCTCTCTCTCTCTCTCTCTCTCTCTCTTCTCTCTCTCTCTCTCTCTCTTCTCTCTCTCTCTCTCTCTCTCTCTCTCTCTCTCTCTCTCTCTCTTCTCTCTCTCTCTCTCTCTCCTTCTCTCCCTTTCTCTCTCTCTCTCCCTTTCTCCTCTCTCTCTCTCTCTTCTCCTCTCTCTCTCTCTCTCTCTCTCTCTTCTCTCTCTCTCTCTCTCTCTCTCTCTCTCTCTCTCTCTCTCTTCCCGCTCCTCTCTCCCTTCTCCCCTTCTCTCCCTTCTCCCTTTCTCCTCTCGCCTCCCCACCCCCTTCACCTTCTTTCTCTTTCACCGCTCTCTCTCTTTCTCATCCCTTCCTCCCTCCCTCTTTTCATCCCACATCCAATCACTTCCAATGATTAATATGTTTATATACATACACACACATACATACATGTATTTATGTATGTGTATGTGTATGTATATAAATGTATATTTAATACGTTTGCTCCTTTATATGTCCACGTGTAAAGTACGAGGCATGGTGCGCTATTAATACCTGAAAGGCCTTGGCTGTGCCTCCACTATCGTCAAGGTCACACATCAAGCCACACGTATTGCCACCTCTCTCTCTCTCTCTCTCTCTCTTCTCTCTCTCTCTCTCTCTCTCTCTCTCTCTCTCTCTCTCTCTCTCTCTCTCTCTCTCTCTCTCTCTCTCTCTCTCCCTCTCTCTCTCTCTCCTCTCTCCTCTCTCCTCTCTCCTCTCTCCTCTCTCCTCCCTCCTCCTCTCCCTCCCTCCCTCCCTCCCTCCCTCCCTTCCCCCTCTCTTCTCCTTCCCTCTCTCTCTCCTTCCCTCTCTCTCTCTTCCCTCCTCCCTCTCTCTCTCCTTCCCTCCTTCCCTCTCTCTCTCTTCCTCCTTCCCTCCTCTCTCCTCCCCTTGTATATTGGTGTCATTCTCTTTCCTTCCATTCGTGTCTTCTATCGTTTCTCCTTCCATTGCTTCAACTCTTACCTAGCTCTCTACTCTTTCCATTCTCTTGTATTCTCCGCCCTTCTCTCATTTGATTATCTAAGAATCCCCTACCGTGGAGATTGTAGATTGGTACCGCGGCAGGTACTGTACATTATAACGGCTTTCGGATGAGTCGGGGGCGAGGAAGGCTGAGCGAAGGCGCGGCACGTATCGGAGAAGGGCCGGGTCACTGGGTGCGTGGCACAGACTGGCTTCTGCAAACCTGCTCGTCACATAACAGTATATAACCATCATAAGGGTAACTAATAAAGCGAGCTCTTTCATTGTTAGTTGTTACTCGGATGGTTTGTTATCTACTAAAATTGTACTAAAATTATGTTGAATGTTAATTTACTGGTTACAATTAGGGGAATGTTCTAAAACTTGAGCGTAGATTAAAATATAGTTTGGTATCGTTGATGTAAGACTCTGCAATCACATTATTGTTTTTGAACGTGTGTACCGTGAGCAGTGGCACGTAGGCAGACTCCGAAGTACAATTACCACTCGGTCACCTTTACAAGTTCCAGTGATCCATCGCTTAATGATGGAAGTGTGTGTGTGTAGCTGGTTTAGCACTTTGATTACATAAGTGATGTATCTGCACACCCGAAATACTGTACTTCGATCTGTTAGTGTTGAAGCCATGTGAGGGTACCACGAAGTTTATGTGAAGCACGCCAGCATTTGCTACAATTAAGCACTTGCCGGTCTACAAACTCCCCATCAGCAAACATAACTAAATCTTAATCATAGTATCTCCACAATGCGCACTTAACGTAGTAGTTTTTTAGGCTTGTGGTTACCCTGCCTTCCACAACTACAAGTGTACTCGCGTAGCTCTTTCTCCGTTACGGTTGCTCTCTCCTTGGCCTTTCTCCCCTCCCCTAGTCGTGCCAAGCCCCCAGCGCCCACCCTACCCCATCCCAACGTTCACGTCGCATCCGCCGAGTCATTCCAAATTTTATACGTACAAGTTTCCACCGAGAACCTTATCTCTCTTGTGTCTGTGTACTTGTTGTTATTT